GACCGTATCGGGGATAGAACCTGTAGATTTCCCGCAAAAGTGTTAACCATTTTACCAATGGGTTGGAATTCAATGGTTTATATTTTTTTAATCTGTCAGTTCGTGATATAGTGCAACTATCGCCCAAGTCCATCAGTTGGCATCCGCTTCACTTCCGACTTCGTTGACCCCATACATCATGGCTTCTCATTAGAATTTCGGGATATCAATCACCAAGTATGTCACCGATGAGCGTATATATACACGTATCAGGTGAAGGTCGTGTAATTCACTGACTAATCCAATCTAATGTCAATTATGACCAAGGCTGTTTCCTGGACTCTTCTAGAATGTGTAAATTAAACGAAACTATCTGAAAATGTTATAAAAGATAACCTGTTTAACTTTTTTTCGCTCTCATTTATATTCAAAAATGTTAAAACTAAAGTCCGTAACACCTGAGTGAACAAATAATTCGCTGTTAGGAATTTCTGTTAACTGATAGGTTACGAATTACCTACAGTCTTTATACACACGCCCACAACACTTAGACACGCCACAATGAATCTTCATTACTGCTATACCTTTCTCACACTATTGAAGAGATAGAAGATAAGACTGGCAGAGCAAGGTTTGTTCTTTCACGAAAAGGTCAAATAGAACTGGAAATATAGATACTTATATAGTTATTCTACTGAACCAATAAACACCAAGTTTAGCAGTGAAAAACTGTCATTTCAGACACTCGTTAAAATAATAGATAAAATAAAGCGGTATGGATAAATATTTATTTCACATCTATTGTGGAAAACATTGGACAATAATCTATCTTCCTATCAATTCTAACATATACTATGATTGGATTAGTGCCAAATTTAAATCTCGATTTCACATTATCCAGCCCTAAGTACTGACAGCATTCTATCGATCATTTGCAAATGTGATCATCAAGCTAGAGGATTCACCATCTGCATTCACTTTGATTGGTGTAAGGTAGTTGGAGGTGGCATTGCATGACATGGATGTGAATCGTTGACGGCGCCAGTCCCTCAAATTCGCAGATAGGACTTCCGATAGATGCCAAGAATCACAAAACCCAAGCCACAAGAGGCGTCGTGTCGATTCCTCTCAGCTACCTAACACAATCGAATTTAAATCTTACACAAACTTTGAGTTGAAGCATTAAAGTTGAAGTCTGGATATCCATGATTCTGTTAATGATGGATCGTGCTAGCAGTAGAATCCAGGATGCGCATTTCGTCCTATTTGGGACTCGTCAGCTGGATGTACCTGCTTCCCAGTGAGTGTTGTTCTCACCGGGATTCGAACTTGGGAGCGATCGCTTCAAACGCCAGCGAATTATCCACTACACCACCGAGCCACTTCTTTTGCGACGGGTATAGTTTTTAGTATAATTGTTCTTATATGATACCGTCGTCGATCGCCCCCGGGTCCGAATCCCGGTGCGAACAACATCACTCACCGGGAAGCAGGTACATCTAGCTGACGAGTCCAAATAGGATGAAATGCGCATCCTGGATTCCACTGCTAGCCACGATCCATCATTAACATAATTAGGACGCTGGTAATATCTAGCCGTCCGCACAGGAGCCCATATGCTAATAGAGACCGATCAATTCGTCCAATCAACGATGGTATCATATAAAAACAATTATACTATTAGTAATTCTGTCTATGCCTAAATTATCGCTATTTTTTATTTTCTAACAATTCGCAGCGTATGGGTTGTCTTTTACTATCTTATTATTTGCCCTGAATAAAAACAAGACTTGGCTCTTCATACATTGTCCGTCAAACGATAAGCTGAAGCGATCTCATCTGTCGACGAAGGGTGAAGTAAATCTGCAGAGCAGTTGTCAGCAACTCTATCCAGATCTTCTTAATTCTATCTAAGCCAAATATCTTTCTCTTCTAGTCACAAAGCAGGTCAAGACACATCTGAGACGCAGTAAAAAAAACCTCCAACCCCTGTTAATTCTCGCATCTTCTGAAGAGTTCATTACAGAAACACAGAAATCGGTTTAAGACAGCACAAAAATCATGAAGTTGCAAGGAATTTAGTCTTTTTAGAGGTGATAAAACATACCAGGGTAGAAGTGGTTCTACCAAACTTGAGACTTAAGACAGAAATACGCTTAAAACTACTCTACATATCACTATGAAAATGTAGTTATTGCCTTTTTGAATTCTTGAAAGTGAAGCTGGTGCTCATCGATAGAAATTAGTTTTAAATCTGTATCCGAATCTTGAATTTGTTGTATCAACTAGTCTGAGACAACCGTATCCTCACATAACAGCAGTAGAATGCTAAAATACTCAAAATATTACCTATTATCATTAAACCGCTCACTTCTGCTGTGAAATGTAAGAAAATGTCATGTTTAGTTTGACTTATAAAATTGAAGTTAGGAATTAGTGACTGAATGGAGCAGTATAATTTAGAGCTTAAGCTTAGAGCAAAGATTTCTTTGAAGTTTCTTGAAAAAGACTTGTAAAAATATCGATTAGCTTTAGAAAAACAGTAGTTTCAAGATACTAAGGGACATTTTTGGAGAAGTGTAGACAGTGGGACTAACCACAGAACTATGATTAGGAAAGCTAATGTAAAACTGACTACATCTTAAATATATTTCAAAGTCGTTTTCGTTTCTTTATCCATACGAATAGATTGATGACTAAAGTCAAGTTATCTGTTCCATTTTTGAAGGTGATAGCAAATGTGGAATAGTTATACATAGAGACGATGATGGATTGGAAATGAGGGATGATATGAAGATGCTGGGTGAACCATTCAAATGAACTGAACTACCGCCAATAATGACTTACTTCAGGATTAAATCCAAAAGTCCTAAAGAGAAGTCGTGACGTCTGGTTCAAACCAAGTCGGATGTGAGGACAGACACTCAACGACAGCATTAAATGATGGTCGCGCGATAACGCGAACTGACAGTAATAAAATGTAGATCATCGAACTCCGATCAGGTGGATGAGTCGTAATGTGCTCGCTATGAAGGTCCTGAAGTCGATCCCTGGTAGGACTACAGGTGCACCCCTCTAGGGGCTTCATACTGGGACATAACAGTTGTCTAATTCTCCGACGCACTCAATGACTCCATAATTGATGTTATTCCAGGATATCATCTTGAAATGAACAGATCTCAGCAAACCTCCGGACTGAATGTAACTAATATGCACACAAGTAGAGCATCGTGATCAGAATCACGTATAATTGTTCTCAAAATGATTACATAAATAGCCTTATCACTCAGGCTTTCCAAATATATAAGTGTGGGGATATGTTTGGAATTTTAGGCTCACCATGCATTAAGTCTTATTCAGAATTTAAATTATCCCAATACTTCCATTCACCTTGATCTATCTCTTTAGTCTTTCTTTGGGATGATAGGAAATTATGCACTGACGTTCTGTACTTTTCGTAATAACTCAGACAAAGTGTATCCCATTTATTTATTTCTCCTGGGACTGACCACTTGAAAATGTCTTAACTCCACGATAGAATACTTTGCTCCAAGAGGTCCACTTTTAGCATTTAATTACGAACTAGAGTTTCTCAGAGGAGTCATTGTTAACAACCTCTGGCAATATTTTAACGGTGATTTTTGATCCCTACAGCATAGTAAAAGATAACGATTTATACGAACAACTTCATTTTTTGTTCTATCTCTAAAAATGTATCCTATGAAGAAAACTAATGGAACATATTCTACCGTTGATCCTTACCAGGTCGAATCCTAAGATCAATCCCTAGGTAAGGGACTGGTACAGTTTCATCGATGTTGAAAAACCACCAACTTGCTAATTCGCCAACTCCATGTGTAGAAAAACCTTTTTTTTATTTCCAGAGAAAACACAAACGTCCCTAAGCTGCAACTTATCCTTCATACACTCTGGAACCGATTGTAGGATGTGTTAAGGACAAGTTGCCACTGTGTGCTACTTCAATGTGTGTCTAGAAATTTACTTGCTCCTGTGGAACAAGTTACATTAGCCACACACAACGTCGACTTTCCAAACGTATTTCCGAGCACTATCCTGTATGGTTGCTGAGGAGAGAATATAAATCAGTTTAAAACTAACCTCAATTAAAGTGGATATAACAGGCGGCACAGACGAGGATGTCAAAGTCAGAATCGGAAAAGCAAGACAGGCGTTCATTAACCTGAAACCAGTATGGAGATCTTCTCCACTCCACTCAGCATAAAGCGTGAACAACATCCGGACTTTCAACACTAACGTCAGTCAGATCAGCGCTTCTGTATGGTTCAGAGACTTGGCGCGTTACGAAAGGGATTTTCAACAAACTACACACACTCATCAACATCTGCCTACGCTCACTCGTTACTGAAGATCAGATGGCCAGAAATAATAAGCAACAAGGAACTCTGGCAACGAACCAACGAAGCTATCGCTCAAGAAATATGCAGAAGGAAGTGGAGATGGATTCGATTGGGCATAAACTGAGAAGACAGACTGGGAACATAACGCGTCAGGCCCTCGAGTGGAACGCAGATGGGAACCGACGAGTTGGGTGTCCGAGGGTGATATGGAGGAGATCGTGCGAGGAGGAAATGAGAGCTTGTGGGCTGTCGTGGATCCAGGTTCAAAAGATTTCAGAGAACAGAGCGCATTGGAGGCGTGCTACTGAAGCTCTATGTTCCATTAGGAACCCAAGGGACAAATAAATATATACATACATAATAAAGTGGATATAGATGGCGAGTTTCCTCGTTTATTAAAAAAAATTAAAAAATAAATTCGGTTAGTACTCCGAAATATACAATACGATACTGTCTAGTGATCAGCCAACGCAACTTCTACATTTGATAAACATACTAGTAACAAACACACGGAAATTCAAAGCTGTCCAAAATTGAAAAGTCTACTTTAAAGAATAAAGTACTATATGGAAGGATAAATGTGGACTTATAACTTGAGTAATATAAGGTGTATGCTGTACAAAAATCTGATGGTTATTGCTTTCATGAATTCAAAATATTTTCAGCCTCGCATATAATCTGCTGGTAAGTTGAGTCTCTTTCTAGAGAACCAAGTGATATTAATTGTTCTTCTTTGTAGTTAATTAGTTTAACAAGATTTTCAATTTTTATTTTTAGTTCACCAACTGAATAATATAATTTCACTGATAGCCTTCCTCTCAAGACCGCTAATTCAAATGCTAATGCAAATCCCTGATCAACACCAATTTCAAATTCCTTTTGTAATACAGCATTAGATCTAGTAAAATATCCTTCTCGTACACCTGCACTATGAATTTCTGCAGCACGACGTTCCCAATCTCGTGATGCAACTTCTAGTTCAGAATGCACATCAGTTGCATTAATATCAAAAACATCATCCATAGAAAAATAATATGTACCTGAAATTTAAGCATTTAAATATGAATATACAGTTTCTAAGCATACAGTTGATTAGAAAAATTAAATTAAGAAGCATATCATTCACAAGTATAACCAACTATAGTTAGCATTCATGTTGTAAGAGTTGTCAATATCTTTTATCACATTATTGGCGGGTGGATTCCGTCAGCAGAATCAAACACGAATTCTGCTTTAACTCTCTCTTTCAAACAAAATGCGTAGTCAATAATCAATAGTTTACAAATGAATTTAATGCTAAATGAAACTAAAGTAGTAGAAGTCCAAAATTTAACAGATACAATTAAAGTTCACTCAGTAGCCAACTACACGTTCGGACAGTAGACAATGTCCTCCTCCCCCCCCCCCACCTATTATATTACGTTAATGATAATAAGTGGTTGCTCAACTCTTGGTGATGGCTGACTCATCAGCTGAGTCGAGTACCTAGACCAACAAGCCACAACTTTAAACATTCTATGGGCGAAAACAAAGTAAAACTCACTGTTTGATACCATTTGGTTGATAGCATTTACTTGAGGAATCTATCTCTCTAAATGATCTAATGTGATGACTAGTCAGATGCGCATTATCTCCTTAATAAACACTATACGACAAAAGTTATTCATTGGTAAATAGTTATTGAAGTTTAAGGAGGTTTACCATTCTGAGTTATTTCATTACATGCTAATAGTTAATCTATGATTTTGATAAGCAGAACATTGAACACCATTTTGGAAAGTATAAGAGAATTCTTGAAGGTATGATACCTAGATTTACAAAACATTTATGAACCCCTACAACTACTGGCTAGAAGAAATGCAAAAGAACTTCGCTAAAATGGGTATCTGAAGTAACTAAACACTGAAGAACGAAAGTATTGTGGAAAGACAGTGAATTTACAAAAGGATATCATGTTGTACACGATGAAGTATGTGGTAAGAAAATCTAACCGTTCGCTTAAAAAAACGTGAGCTTTTATAGGTTCGAAGATGGTTGTAATTTTAGCAAGTGCACTGAAGATGATGATTAGCCACTTTAACGATAACATTAAGAAAATCGATTTTATTTAAAAATAGGCAGGAAAATCATTTATGAATGCCATAATTTTCTGTAAGGTTGATTACAAATCGCAGAAATTACCTTTTAAAGGCAACATAGCTCCTTTTAGTGATGTCAAATCTTAGAACATAAACAACCAAGACTGTTAAGAATGATAGCATACTTCCACAACCTCCCAAGAAGTTTAGAAAGTAAATTGTTTATCCAGTGTTTCTCTAGTTTCCTTCGAGACGATAAACGAAACGGACAACTTTTCCTATGATTTCCACGGAAATAAAGTTTGCAGATGTTCTGCTAGGATGTATACCTAAAGACTACTTAAAGGTCTACTTACTTCAAGACAAAACTGCACTTTTAGGTGTTTCGATCAATCGAATCTATTCCTTGAAATTCATCCGAAAAGTACACTGCATTTCATGAACTATCGCCACTACGTCAAACACTAAACATCTCCCAGTAGCCTGAAACTATGGAATTCAGGTACCTTGCATATGTCAAATGGATTGAAGATGAAGAAACAAGAACCGACTATGTTACTATATAAAGCCTTAGTTAGGGTACTTTATGGTTCTTTCACATACACGCAGGATCAGCGACGCCATGACTGTGGTCGTGAAAATATTGAACTATATAAAGATTGAATCACATAGTGCAGACGCAATCGAGAGGTAGTGCGATAGGAATTCTACTTCCCATTCGATAACCTGAAGAAAAACAAGTCTTGGAGAATTCGTTGCACGACAAGAAGTTTAAAAACTTTTATAAAAGTGCAGCTTGCAAGATTATTCTCTCCATACTAAGGTAACTTTGAAGTTGTTAGACAATACGAAGCATTTCATACAATGGTTTGGCAGCCATTTTGAGACTGGAGGTTATCCTACGTCTACTAAACTGTCATCTCCAAAATGCACATTTAACATAACAATGAGGCGCTATTACCAATATTCACTGGTTAACCTTTCACTAGTAGGAAGCGGAGAAAGGTTCCTCAACGTTTTCTGAACAGAAGAACTCTACCATCTGTTGGATGTCACTGCTCGGGGATACTTGAACTACCTAAAATATAGAGTACGCAGGCGAGATAAGAAGAAAGTAATTAGAAAACAATGCGAGAAATTCATTTACCTATATGCGTCCCCTTTATATTTGTAACTCATCTAGTGTAATTCATCTCTTTTTTCATTTCCAGCATCCCCTAATTTCGAATTTAGGTTAATCGGTAAACACAAAGGTATGTGGTGTTATACTGAAGTCTACAGTTTTTGTAATTATGTTAGAATACCTAATTACCCTCAATTTCATTTTCCTTCTTTTGAAAGAGGCCGTACCCTGGTGATCGTTAATGTGATATATCAACTTGTTTCAGCTATTCCCCAATCACGCATGTGTTCATTTTTTGTATTAACTATGTACGAACTTACACTGTATACGCCCTCAGCATTGCTCTTTCTAAAAATTATGAAGTGTGTAAAATGTGCCAAAAAATACTGAATGTGTGAACAACCAAAGTGTGGTAACTAAGCAACGTAAAGTGATAAATATGCATGACTAGAGGGTTTGCACAATACTGGATAAACCACCCAGAATTTTTTGAGGGGAGCACAATTTAGGGGAAGCATAAAGAACCCTGGCGAAGTTCCAGGAAAAAAGCATATCTTTGGTGACAAAAGCGACTGACTTCCGTCTTTCCTCGAAATTTTCCAAGTTCTTATTAGCTTCTTAACAAATTTTCCCATAATGCTCGGATTAAGTCATAGTTTTTTGTCTCGGGTTTGAGAAGTCTGAAAAGATGAAGATATTAACAATGGTCAATCACTTCTCCAGTACTATTCTTACTCATAGTCTGTAAAACGATGGACAACAGTGGGAATGAATTTGACTTTGGAAGTGCAGAAATCTCGGAGAGAACGCCAAGAATATCATAGGATCGCTAGAAGCCTGGAATTCAGGTAAATAAACAACCAACAGATACAGACACACCCACTCTACCAAACAATAAGGACTCATTAAAAACTATAAGGTGAGAGGTCGGGCAGAGAAACAGACAACAGGAAAACCTATGCAGTTACTGGCAAAACAATCAAAAGAAATCACCAATCGTACCATTTTCAGGATAAGCTACAGAATCACTCACAGGAAGTTCTGACAGCTCCCTTTATATTGGAGCTAGTGCTGACAATGTTTGCCGAAGTAGGTCCAGGCTGGAAAAAGGCTCGAGGCGGCCGGACTAAAACATGGCACCAATGTATGAAGTCTTTGACTGTCGGTTTGAGCCACGTAGGGCCATGCAGGCTAGGCGGTTGGGGTCCACGGGACAAGAGTAAAAAGTGGTTGGAGACTCTAAGTGATATGGCTCAGAACTGATGTCAGCGGCATAGATGTATACACACATTAACCTCATGTTAACGCTATACCTTATTTCACCATTTCTTTCTCTCTCCTCGTGATTGATATTTCTTTTGAATGAATTTCCTTTTCTCTATCTCCCATTTCACTGCTTTTTTACTTGTACTGATATGAGCTGTGGCAACTCGGACCATTATGCAGTAATGCCTGGTCCTATGTTGATTTGGATGGACAGATGATGACAGTGTTGTCTAGAGATGACAGACAAAATCGACGTAGACCTCATATAAGTACATCGGTTTGCTGTCACAGTTTGCAGAAGCATGCAAAGAAAGTGGATAGAAAAAGACAGACATAAAGTAGATAAAGGCGTGTGAGGAAGAATTTGAAAAAATGAAGATTACCGAAAACTTTTAAGCTTTAGAAAACGTCAGAATGAACGGACCATTCGACTCGACGAACGAAATACAGCCATGACATAAATTATGTTGACATTTTTGAAATGGTGGGTTAGGTGCTTAGGAGTTAGTGAAATGAGTTTCTAAAATATGAGGGCCTTTTAGACTAAGCGAAAGGTTACTTCGTCGACATGAGAGGATGTTTCGTTTTTCCTCACCACCTTCCCCCATATGCTTCTTTTAGTTTATTCCATCTGATTTCTATTGTACGCGTGACGGGTGTTACTGTAATGTGTAGTCATCCGCAATATTAGTTATCTTTTACTGATTCCAGATTGAGCGTTTGCGTCAAAAACGTTTGCGAGTGCTAGATGTCAGTCAGGGAAATTGAATTTTGTTTCTATGTGAAGAGGTTAAGGGTATGTTCATATCGACCTTTTGAAGGATTATGTCGTACAGCAATCCTCATCAGAAATACACGAATTAAATCAGTATAACTGAGTCGGATAGCATTTTTTAAATATTGTATGAAACTTACAAAGTTAACTGTTCATTCAGACCCGAGTGGCTGTTTAGGGATTTGGTGAAATACAGATGAAGAAAAGGGGCCTAAGATCATACCGTTGAACACGGTTTTGGATGATTAAGCTACAAACATCAACGGTCTAGTTGTTAAGAACATAATTTAGATTGGAAGCCTTACTCTCAGATACCTAGTGATTGAATTGAGAGGTTTTTTTTAGTCAAGCACTTTCCCCGTAGTAATTCCCGAAGTTCTCTAACAAGGACAAACTAGCTAGAAGTAATTAGGAGCTGGACTTAAATCACTCATATTCCATCAGGGTGATTTTAGGAGGGGAAAGTTTATGGGTGTTCAGCGAAATCAAGAGGAAAAGAACGACGGTTCCCGATCATTCTGATTGGTCCTGACGGACTAAGTTGAAACTTGGATAATTTTTTTAATTGTTCCTGGTAAGCCAGGATCCACAGAAAGTGGGCCTTCATAAACATTAACTTTGTCTCGAGTATATTGGAGCAAAGAATGAGAGTAAGAGGCATCAAATCACAGCAGCAGGTCCATCAATAAGAATTTGTAACTGGTCCTAACAAGGCCACTTCCTCAAGCTTTTGACGATGAGGACCCTTAACTAAAAGTGTTTAACTCTTCAAACATAGTTG